ATTGTGTATGTTCCAAAAATGGCTGTACCAGTTTACACTTTCAGCAACAAAATTTTTTCTTTACCCACATTTTCTTAAGCATAATAATTTTTAATCTTGGTCATTTTTACAAGGATAAAATAAAATCTCAGAGTTTTTATTTACATTTCTCTGACGGCTAAAGGATGTTATGTTTAAGCATTTTTTTTTAAATGTCTCTCAGTCATTTTTAAGTTCGTCTGTTGAGAGTTTTCAGTTTAGGTCTGTAACAAATATTTTTATTGGATTAATGATAAGTAAAGATCTTTTCCCACTCTATAGTCTTATTATACAAAAGTTTCTCAATTCAGGAGATCTAATTTATGGTTTTTCCCAATGTTTATGCCACTGAGGCTATGTTTGAGATATGACAAAATGTATGCAATTTTTATATGCTGAGGCCTTTGACTCATTTAAACTTGAGTTTTATACATGGGAATGGATATGGATCTATTTTTATTCTTCTACATGTTGATGTCTAATGAGGCCAACATCATTAGTTAAAATGCTTTCTTTTTCCATTTTCCTATCTACAAGGCAGACTTACAACTTAAGAAAAAGATAGCTTATAAACTTTTAATTAGATATCCAATGGTTAAAGCCCTAGTTATAATATTCTTATGGGAGACCTTGAGCCGATAGGTAAAATTCTTTTATAAAACAATAAACCAGTTTCCAATAGAAGCACTGGCTTTGCTAAATTTTGCTCTGAGTTTTCAATTTCTCACAAAACAGGAATACCTTATAATCCTCAAGGACAAGCTATAGTCAAGTGAGCACATCATACGCTCAAAGCCTATTTGCATAAAACAAAAAAGGGGGAATATGGTTCCACCTCCAGAGAGCATTTATCTTTTATTTTATACATTTTAAATTTTTTGACTGTTGATGCTCAATCTCATACCGCCGCTGACAGGCATTGGCGGCCAGATTCTTCCAGTATGCCTCATGTAAAATGGAAGAATCTATCAAATGGCACCTGGTATGGTCCAGATCCCGTACTGGTGTGGGGAAGAGGGGCTGTTTGTGTTTTCCCGCAGGATGCTGACAATCCAATATGGGTACCTGAGCGGCTGGTGCGTGCTGTGGATTTTCCTGTCCAGAAGCCTGAAGACAGGACAGAGCCAAGAGATCAAGGAGATTCTGGCTTGTCAACTGAAGAATTGCGGGTTTCCTGAGGAGCTTGCTGCGGTGGTCCGAGTGCCAAGGATTGTTCCTCTACCCATCTACCCTTCCCATGATACTGGCAGCCATTGCTGTTGCTGCCACAGCAGCTAATGCTGCTGGATTTTCTTTAGTCAGTCAGTTGCTTCCTGCTAGCACAAAGATACCTTCTCAGGACAGGTTGCAAATGCCATAGCTAAATTTGAGCTAAATTTACATATGAATATTGCAGTTAATTTTGTTCTTGGTTGTGGTTAAAGACCACTGCTAGATGTTACAGTTTTAAGCTTATTGCTGTTATTCATGGACCCTGAGGTGTGCAATTTACAAATTGGCTCTTAAAATTGTTTTAGCTAGCTATACCAGGGTTCCTTTCACCAGTGCTGAGACCTTACTTAAAGGGCTCCAATTTTGGGCAGAATTATTAAGGACTGAGCAGGCACAGTCTCCTTATGGGATGCTTATATATGTGCTGGAACATCATCTTCATAGTTATGATGCCAGAGCCAAAGGCAAGCTCAGGTCTATGTTGCCACATGGCAAGTCCTCTTAGCTATTGCCCCAGAGAATCTTTCAGCACAAATCTGGCTGAACTTGGTGATGAATGACTAGTGAGCCAAAGATGGGAAAGGCTTTTGGGGGGCTGCCTCAACCTAAGACAGGAAATGTGTTTTGACCTGGATGCTTTCCAATGACGGGTAAGGGGTATTGCCTGACGTCCAAGGCCACCCAAGACAGGCCTAGTCATAATTTATATTAAGGGGGGACCTGTGGGGCCCTGGTCTCCCTTATTCCTGGGGTGCATTGGCGGGGACAGTTTGTTATTTGTTAACTAAGCTTCCTGTGTGTTTCCGTGCTATCCCTGCCCCACCTGGTGATTTAGCTGCAGGCAATCTTCTCCATTGTTAATATGGTAATTTCCCACCTCCCTGGGCGGAGAGATCTTTGTGCTGCAGTTAGGTAGAAAAAGGCTTCCCCAAGTCTGGTCTCTGTGTCTTGTGTTCAATCTCCAGGCCCTTGCCCGGACTCGCATTCGGTACAGCTGCGCGCGAACTGTACTGAGGGTGTAACACCAAAACCGAGTGTTACATAAGATTATGGTCAAGTCCTGAATGTAAGGCTTGATCAACTCAACTAGCAGTCTTGAGGTTGTTCTAGATGTAGAACTCAGAGAAAACTCCAATAGAGATCCTCTGAAATGTTGGATCATCTGGGCTACCCACTCCTATTGGAGGTTTTTCAGAGTGTCTTGGTCCATCAAACCACATTTGTCTGGAAGGAATCCACAATTTCTCATCTTCAGTGGAAACAAAAGCAGAACCTCTTTTCCAAAGCAACATATCCTTAGACCCCATTTTTGAAGTCAAGATACCTTTAAAATACATATGTTGGTTTAGCTTAGCATCTCATACAATGCAATGTCTCTCTGAACTTAGCTCATTCATAGTCAAAAAATTAAAAGAAAATATAATAATATATATAATCCATACTCTGTATATATTCCATCTTTATGTGGCTTATTTTTTTACTTCTTTAATCTATGACTGTCCGTACACTGTCTTTTTAAAGACTTTGTTTTATTTTTTAAAATCATTCACTTTAAAAATAAAAAAAACTATCTCTCCTAAGCCTATGTACATTTATCTAACACTGTGACCCATTTAGAGGTCTTTTACATCTGAATTTGTCATTATTGCATATCTGTAATAATTTTCTGACCAGGAGTGCTTTAAAAATGGTAGGTAGCTTGGTCTCAGCAGCCCTGGATGCTGACTCCACCTCTCTCAGGTTTTCAATATGGCAGAGGTAGTTCACCATCTGCTCTGGGACTGCTGGGTGGGAGCCGTCCTCACAAACACGACTCTGGGCATACAGCACATAAACCCTTTCTATCTGAGTAAAATCTAAATCTGCCATGTATCACACTGTGTAGCCTGGAAATATCTGTGTATGGTGGCAGGAATCCGCCATGCTTTCCTGCCTGTGGACGTCTAGCAGACCTGATCCCACTGCCTGCACAGGCAGGGACTGCTGAGCCACAGGCATGGTCTCAGCTACTCACCTCCTGACTCCTGAGTGGGCACACAGGCATCCAGACCCAAAGTGAATGGTGGACATCAACTCCCAAAAGGAGCCAAAGCTGTTCCTGTAACTAGCAGAAACCAGAAACTGCACAATTCTTGCCACTAAAGCTGAGTCAGGAAAACTCTTAAAGGAGCTGCATCTCTGCTTGCCGCCAGAGTGTGTTTGTGCATGTCTAAAATTCCTTCCCAAACTCTCTCAGGTTTTAAGTGGATTGAGTTGGCCATGTTTGCACCAATTGTTGACAGAGGTTTCTGTCCTGCCCAGTCCTGCAGTGTCTGAAGATATTTCTGATCGTCACAAGTTGGGGTTGGAGACAAGTGGAGGGTGCTACTAGCATCTAATGGACAGAGTCTAGGGATGTCCTACATCCTACAATAAGACAGCCCCCACAGAAAGTATTGTTCATCTCAAAATATCAATACTGTCAGTTAAGAAACCCTGCTCTAACTCTAAAATTTTAATACTATTTTGAATATGAAAAAAGACTTCAAAAAAGTAAAAGTCAACAATATAGATCAGGGATGTAGTTCAGTGGTAGAGCACTTGCCTAGCAGAAACAAGGCCTTGTGTTCCATACCCACCATTCCCTCAAAGAGTAAGAATTAAATGTATGGCAGGGAAGTGGTGGCACACGCCTTTAATCCATGCACTTGGGAGGCAGAGACAGGCAGATCTCGGTGAGTTTGAGGCTAGCCTGGTCTACAGAGCAAGTTCCATGACAGCCAGAGCTGTTACACAGAGAAACCCTGTCTCGAAAAACCAAAAGAATTAAATGTGTTATTTTAAAAGTAGAATTAAATGAAGAATATGAACTCTGTAGTCTTAACAAATTCATGTTAGAAACCTAGTTACCAATTTTGTTGCCCCATACAGGTTATTCAGTTTCCTCATGTATAAAATTCTAACTAAACACAAATCTTTTAGGATTTCTGTTAAAACTAATCAATTTAGTCCCAGTGCTCTGCCCTCTTTCGGTCTGGTAGAGAGCATGGCAGAGAATCACTAGACATCAGTTTCTGTCCCCTCATTTCTGTCTTTAACTCCATTTACCCCAAATCCTAGTCCCATCCCAGAGACAGGGATTGGTATACAGTCATGCATATTGTGAAACATTAAGCAAAACCACTAACGACACAGAGGGATACAGGGACCAAAAGTTTTATTTAAACTATTTCAGCCACAATTTCCCCATTTTAAGAATAAAAACCTATTGTAAGCATATAATCCTTTTTAACTTTTAATATAACCTCCCTCTCATAACTATAATAAAGTGACCACAGGAGAGACAGCAAAAGCAGAGAGGATCCCAATGGCTCAGAGCATTGTTCTAGGCTGTGTCCTAGTGCTGTGATAAACACTGCGGCCAAAATCAACTTGGGGATGAGAGGGTCTATTTGGTTTACACATCCCAATCACAGGGAAGCCAAGATAGAAACTTAAAGGCAGGGACTGCTAATACAGAGACCATGATGGAAGGCTGCTTACCGGCCTGCTCATGGTCAGCTGCCTTCCTGATACCTCACAGGACCACCGGCCCAAGGGTTGTACCAACTACACAGGACTGAGTCTTCTTACATCAGTCACTAATGAAGAAAATGCTTCTCAGACTTGCCTATAGGTCAATCTTCGAGAGGTATCCTTCCTCTAGATGACCATAGCCTGTGTCAACTGCCCAAAAACAAAAACAGAAAACACATGCACAAGTATGAACCCCCACAAAGTAGGGGACCTACTTTGGTAGTGATCCTGTATGTGATGTAGGTCTCCATTGTACAGACATGCTTTTTAGGATCATCAACCGTGACAAAGAGATCGCGAGTTTCACCATCAATGTCATCATCAAGCTGGAGTCTGTTCAGAAGGGAAGATGATGACGCTGGGCTCGAAGTGCCTGCTGGAGTACCACCATTAGGCAAAATGAGATCCTGGAAGAAGAGAATGTAAGACTTTAAGACAATCCTGAAGCCATTTTTGACAATTCTGAATCCTTTCAGCCTCTGTGCCATAGTGTTTTCCCTCCTCCCCTGGGAACCAAAGACCTAACAGCTACACTCGCACGTACTCAGTTCCTGAACAATTACCCATGTACATATGCTTTGGTTCTGTCCCCTGGGAAACGGGGTCAAAATGACCTCTTACCTCATCTGATCTGGCAACAGCTCTCCAGTCAATTATTGGTAATAGCCCTTTCGAATAAGCCAATCAGAATAGTCAAAGAACAACCCCCCTTGCTTCTGTAGCCCTTTAAAAGTAGACTGTACCAGTTATTCGAGGTCCCTCGGCTTCCCGAATGCTGGGGGACCCTGTCATAACAGAATTAATAAAATCCTCATGCTTTTGCATTGGCTGTAGTGTGTGAGATGGTCTCTGGGGGCGACTCCTTCTTGGTGTTTGGACGCCAGAGTCCAACAAGAACAGTCTTAGAAATCACACAAATGGAGAACCTCACCAAACCACAGCTGCTGCAGCCACACTATGAAAACTTCAAAAACAACTGCCAATGGCCCGTGTTTCTCTTCACTCCATGTGTCACAGGAGGAACTCAAGTAGAAACTGATGCAGAGGCCATGGAGGGGTGCTGCTCACTGGCTTGCTTGCCACGGCTTGCTCTGCCTGCTTTCAAATAAACCCTAGGATAACTTGTCCATGGGTGGGCTTCACCCTCCCACATCAATCATTAATCAATACAATGCCCCACAGACTTGCCTATATGCCAGTAAGATGGAGGTGTCTTCTAGATTGAGGTTCACTTTCCCAGATGGTTCTAGCTTGTGTCAAGTTGACAAAAAGCTAACCAGATCTTAGCCTCTCATGCTATCTGTCCCGTTTTGTATTTAAAATTTCACAGTAAAAAAAATTTTTTTAAAGAGATTGTCAGAGGGAGAAATGTCAGGAAGGAAGGAAGGAAGAAAGGAAAGAAGGAAGGAAGGAGGGAGGGAGGGAGGGAGAGAGGGAGAGAGGGAGAGAGGGAGGGAGGGAGGGAGGGAGGGAGGGAGAGAGGGAGGGAGGACGGACAACAAACAACAGTTCTCATTCTCTTTCCACCATAGGATGAAGGCCTAAGGCTATCTGGATAAATTACATGTTAAGAATTTGTTACAAATATAGTATCCTATTTATGTTTGATTTTATTTTGGGTTTTTCGAGACAAGGTCTCACTGTGTAGCCTTGGTTATTCTGGAACTTGCTCTGTGGAGCAGGCTTGGCCTTGAACTCAAGAGATTCACCTGCCTCAGAATGCTGGGATTAAAGGCCTGCGCAGCCATCATCCAGGGTTTTTGTTACTGTTGTTGTTGTCATTTGTTTGTTTTGTTTTTTTTTTTTTGTTTTGCAAACATAGTATATTTAAAAGTTGTGGTGGTTTCAAAGTAAATGGCTCTCACAGGCTCCACAGAGAGTGGCACTATTAGGAGTTGCAGTCTTGTTGGAGCAGGTGTGGCCTTGTTAGAGGAAGTGTGTCACAGGGGATGGACTTTCAGGTTTCAAATGCTCAAGCCAGGCCCAGTGTCTCTCTCTTTGTTGTGGGAGGTCCTTCCGCCCCTCCAACCAATAGCTGCTGAGATACCAGCCCATTGGGGCGTGGTTTCTCTCCCTTTAAAAAAATGGCTACTTGCCGGGCTATGGTGGCGCATGCCTTTAATCCCAGCACTCGGAAGGCAGAGGCAGGCGGATCTCTGTGAGTTTGAGACCAGCCTGGTCTACAGAGTGAGTTCCAGGACAGGCTCCAAAGCCACAGAGAAACCCTGTCTCGAAAAACCAAAAAA